GCGGGCATTGCAAAGGAAAACACAATTTGAAGTTGTCGATCATCTAATGGAAATATTCGGAACGTTTGGAGCCCCAAAAATTCTTTAGTCCGACAACGAAAAGGAGTTCGCCAACAGATTGGTGGTAAGCTTTTACTTTTGTGTCCTATCGAATTCCTATATGACGCTTTATTTTGTTTGCTTTTAGGTCAAAGAACTCTTGTAAAAATTGCTGAAATCCTTCATCGGCTACGACATATTGTTTCTTTCTTGTAAAAATTGTAATTGTATTGTAAAATTGTAAAAATTGTTCTATTTTTTCGTTTTGAACAATTTCTTCTCTCATTTCCTTGTAAACAACTTGTCAAAACAAGTCTTTCCATTAAACTTTCACTAATTCATTCCAAAAGAAAAAGAAAAAAGATTTCTCAATTCTCGTTTTCCCAATTCATCCAATTAAATGGAATGCATATAAAAGTATTCCCTGAGAAATGTAAGAAATTGCCGATTTTTCGATTAAAAATCTTGCAAAGATCGATAGAAACTAGTCTGAAAACTAAAAAAGAACTAAAAAAGACTAAAAGAAAAAGAGAAAAAGAGAAATTGTCAAATTTTCGATCAAAATCTTGGAAAACCGAAAAATGTTGAGAGATTGGATCGAAAAAAATGAACAAGACAAAAATGAAGAAGACAGAAAAGGTGCAGAAAGGAGAAAATGAGTGAAAAGCACAAATGGGCGGGGTTTAAAGAAAAGGAGCTGCGAAAGAAAGCGGAGAAACGATTTTTTTTGAATGGCCAAAGAAAGGCAACTTCAATGATTCGGCTTTCGCTAATTTCTAGAAGCAGCTAATATTTTCGAAAAGATATTCAACTATTCTACTATTCTACTTTATATTCGATGGCTGGTAGATCGCGGAAAGCTTTAAGAGAGGAACGGAACGGAAGCCCAAAAGGCAACGCTTCGACGAGCACAAATGGCAACTGTATTCAAGGGCCGAGCGTTTCCGAGCCTGTTTCTTTAGCCAATATTAATCTAAATGTGACTCAGAATGAGAATTCGACTAATTCGAATCATTCATCGTTTTCGACTACAAGACCTGACTCTGTGAGAAGGCACACAACGACGGATACAACAAATTTATTGGTCACTGCATCGCCAAAGATGCGGAAACGATCTAATACGACGAAGATGCCAATAAAATATTGGAAACCGTTTTCATGGCTTTTTAAGCATTCTGGTAACGATTTAAAATTCATTTAAATCATTTAAAATTCCATATTGTATCTGTTAAGCTAGATTTGAAATATAAACAATAACCGATTGAAAGCTGCGTTATTTTTTTGATTTTGAGACATTTGATATGCGCCTTGCCCCTTTGCCATTGGCAATCTAGCTCTCAGCTCAAATATCTTGGTACTTAGCTGTTCAATTTCAATAGTTTTTGTATCAGTCGATAGAGAAAGACTTGGCTCATCTAATGATATCAAGAATATTTAAATTGGACAGCCCAACAACAAACTGTTTGAGCTCAAAGTTAGATTGCCAATGGCGAAGGCCTGCCCCTTATATTAGACGTTCAATAGCCTTATTTTTTTGCTTTCAAAAAAGGGATAGATGGGTAAGAGCGTTTTAAAGTAAATTCTAGGAAATGTAGACGTTGTTCATCTTCGAAAATGGTTGAAATTCTTTAAAATTTGATTTGCATCCTTTCCACAAATAATCCTACTAAAAATCTGTCCAAAATTTGTCTCAATGACTAAAAAAAATGTATCACTTTTATAAAACATGAACTTAAAGCTTGGTTTTTGGAAAGCTTGCTTTTCTGATTGGAAAGTTTCAACCATGTACTTGCTAAGCTTTTATTGATAAAAATAGCAAGTTTTTATTTAAAAATAGGTTTAACGTCAAATAGAGTCTATGTGGGCGTGTGGTAATCTATCATTTTGAACGAGAGAAAAACGGGAGTACCTAATAATTAAAGGAAAGGTTTGGTTTGGCTTGTTTTGGCTTGGTTTTGCTTTGTCAAACGTTGACTAAATTACCAAAATTTCGTTTCTTTACTATGGTTTTGTTGCTTTTTTCAAGTTTTTGAGTTTTTCAAGAATTTTAAAAGGTTTTTGAATGTCTAACTGTAAATCAAAGTGACAAGTGGCCCTGGGGAGGCTAGTTGCCGAATGATTTGGGTAATTTTCTCCTCAAAAAGACGTATTGAGGATATCCGATTTTTGGGGCAAAAAGGCGGTGCTTTTCATTGTATGAAACAAGTTTCTAGAACAGACAAAACCTTAAAAATTGGCCCTCCGTAAATAGTCTAATAGAAGCTCCGTATAGGCGCGTCGCGTAGCCCAAGTTTCCTCTCAAACAAACGCTCATATCTCGACACCAGTGCGTTTGTTTCTATGCGTTTTGGTATCAAATTAAAGTAGAGAAAATGGGTGATTTTTTGAGATATAACACATATTTTTAACATTAACGAGCGCTTAGAAAACATGCTTGAAAAATCGGCTTTTTTTGGCATTTGCTTTCCTCTAAAAGTTGTTCAAATTTTCAAATCTAGATTCTAGACTTTGTAAAAGCTAGTTAATATAAATTATTTTAAAAGGAATACACAAAAGTCGAGTTAGACAAGTTAGACAAGTTAGATTTCAAGATTTAAACTAGTTTAATACCTGAATTGTAAAAATGTTGCAAAAATTGCAAAAATTGCAAAAAAAACACTCAAAAAGTCAAAAAGGCTCAATATTTTCCCCTTTTCTGTCAATTCGTTTATATAAAATAACTTTAATCATAAAGAAATAAAGTGCGAAAACGACATGAAAAATGTAATAGATAAAAGATGACAAAGTCACTTAAAATGCAACGAAATAGCCCTTTTAAAATCAGACACGGTGGAGATGTCCATCTCCACCGATGGACAAACGCAACTTGTCGGGTAGGGCATTCCAAACTTTAGTCACACGATTTACGAAAAAAGCTCTAGAGGATTTAGAGAAAGCAGATTCGGGATAGATAAAAGATAAACTATAGATAAAAGAGCCACGCCTAGTCGCCAAAAGCCTCGAGTTTAGTCGAAAAAGCTTTTTAAAAAGAGGATTTTGATGTTTTCCTTTTACAATTTTAAAGCACTCAACCAAATCTATGATAAGACGGCGTTGTTCTAAGGTTTCAAGTGAGAAAAGTTTCAATCTATGTTTATACGGATGAGTAGTTAGCAAAATCAATTTTGAATAGTGCTATTCGAGTAAAGTTTTTCTGAACCTTTTCAATTTTGTCGATTAGGGATTTAGAAATAGGTGACCAAATTAAGGAAGCATACTCGAGGATCGGGTGAACGTAGATAATAAAGCATTTCCTATATATTGGGTTGGGGAGAATGAGTCGGCGCCGAAATTTAAAGAAACTTTTTGCACCCATAAAACCTTCTTTAAATACACGTTTTGTTTCATCAAAATGGTCCACTATTCCTTTACAAAATGGCTTTTGAGAGATTCCACAAAGCTTTTCTTTTTTGGGATTTTATGGATTCCCAAACACAGCTAATCAAAATGACAAAAAGTCCGACTCATTGTTTGAACAGTTTCTTCCACATAAACCTCCTTTGGTGTTTATATAAAAAAGATAGAGCACACTCAATTACATAAGTTACCAAATTTTCAGGAAGATCCCTCCAACCGTTTACTCTAGATGACAGTTTATCGATTTTGTGAAAAAATGATTTTTTGTTGAGTTGAGGCGCTGTTTGAGTTCTCTTTTAAATATTATTTTGTAGAGAATTAGTTACCCTTCTACGGGTATCAAACGCATATCATTTGACAAAGTCTGCTATAAGTTTTAGAAATTTCTTTGATTTTCGGCGCCGACTCATTCTCCCCAACCCAATATATCAATATCTGATAACAAAAAGATTCGGGATGCAAGATAAAAGAGCCACGCCTAGTCGCCAAAAGCCTCGAGTTTAGTCGAGTTTAGTCGTTTGTTTAAACTTTCAATAGATTTATCGATTTCAAATAATTCGATCTGTATTCAATTGTAAATTCATACTGTTTGCTCAATTGTAAATTAATGAGTCATTTTAATGTCTTAAAGCTAATGAATTTCTTTCTAAATCAGATCAAAAAATGTTTTTCATTAAAATCGTTGATTTTAATTCATTCATTTAAAAAATACCGACTGGGGCTACCAGTGGTGAATTTATCGCATACACGAAATATATCAATCACAATACAACGACACACACAATACTAGGCTATATCTTAACTTAACCCACGTCATGACAGACGGCTCCCTAACCCTAAGCTCAATGGGGAACTAAATAGCTTTTTTGGTGGTGAAGGGAAGATGACGATGAAGGAGTGGCTTGTCACTTTAAAGAACTGGGGCCACAACCACCAGACTGCCCTCCAGAAAACCTCTCAACCCGAAGGGAAAGGAAATTCGAAGGGGGTGACCATGTCGCATGTGGGGTTCGAACCCTCGACCTTCCGATTAAGATAAAAGACACTTAACCAGTCAGCCACACGTGTTTCAATTGTAAATTCTTACTGTTTGCTCAATTGTAAATTAATGAATCATTTTAATGTCTTAAAGCTAATGAATTTCTTTCTAAATCAGATCAAAAAATGTTTTTCATTAAAATCGTTGATTTTAATTCATTCATTTGTTTAAAATCTATGATTTTTCCATTAAAAAAGTCTTTTTTCTCTCTTTTTTCTTTCTTTTCTTTCTTTTTAACACTAAAAACTTTTACGAAGGTTGTAAATTTGCGGAGATCGATTTATTTTGGGAGAGAAAGAAAAGAAAAGAAAAGAAAAGAAAAAAAATGAGACGAAAATTTGATAACAGCGAGAAAAGGGAAAAAAACAAAAACCAAGGCAGAAAATGAGGTTTTCATTGGCTCCATGAAAAAGAAAATCAAGAAAATCAGAAAAATTGTGTACGTTTGACGAAAGAAAGTTTGTTGAATGAGAAATCTTTGACGTAATGCTTTTTTTGATTGAAAATAATCAATTTTTGTTTTTAGCCGAGCGAATCGAGGGGAAAGCTTTCGTTCGACGGGGAGCGCTTCGGCAGAAGAATGTACATGAAATCAAGTGGGGTTTTTTTTGAGGGAATTGAAATGCTATCTAAAATTCGTCTGTTTGCTATCTAAAAATATCTAAAATTTGTGCAAAACCTCTTTTTCTTTTAGGTAAACTTAGCTAAAATGATTTAGAGTAGGCTTTGGAAACGAATTCATTCCGAAATTAAACTACCGTATTTTCTGTAATAGTAGTGCAGTCTATAATAGTAGTGCAGGCAGGAGGGGGGGGTTGAAAAAATAGTAGTTCGCACTACTATTACAGAAAATACGGGATCAACTCCGAATCCTTTCGATTTGTTTAATTCTGATTCTTTCTGTTTTATTTTTCCATCGATTGATACAAAAACTATTGAAATTGGACAGCTCAACACCAAGATATTTGAGCTGAAAGTTGGATTGCCAATGGCAAAGGGGCGGGGCTTATCAGATAGCCTTTTATACGCGCCCCGCCCCTTTGGCGTTAGCTTAACTTTGAGCTAAAATATCTTGGTGTTGTGGTATCCAATTTAAATATTTAAATTGCCATTGGCAATCTAGCTTTCAGCTCAAATATCTTGGTGCTGAGCTGTTCAATTTCAATAGTTTTTGTATCAATCGATAGAGAAAGACTTTCCGCACCAATGATATCAAGAACATTTAAATTGAACAGCCCAACACCAAGCGGTTTGAGCACAACGTTAGGTTGCCAATGGCAAAGGGCGGGGCTTATCAGATAGCCTTTTATAAGCGCCCCGTCCCTTTGGCATTAGGTCAACTTTGAGCTCAAACAGTTTGTTGTTGGGCTGTCCAATCTAAATATTCTTTGTATCATTAGATGCGCCAAGTCTTTCTCCATCGATTGATACAAAAACTATTGAAATTGGACAGCTCAACACCAAGATATTTGAGTTCAAAGTTGGATTGCCAATGGCAAAGGGGCAGGGTGCGTACCAAATGTCTCACAATCAAAAAAATAACGTAGATTTAGTAACGTAGATACTACAAAATAAATTTTGGTGAGAATAAGTTGATGAGGGAGGACAACTACCAAAAAATAAAGCAAGCTAACTGAAAATAATTACCGCTATACTTTATTCTTTTGATTTTGTAGTACTTGCCAGTAATTTGTGCCCAAAACAAAATACTTTATGACGCGCTCATGCTAATTTATCTGGTACAAGAGAAGAGGTGTGTTTTGAGTACAATTTCTTATATTTTGAGTACAATTTCTTATATTTTAAGTACAATTTCCGTTAGCTGGCTTTTTTCATTCATAGTTCATAGTTTTCACAGTTTTTTCATTTTAAATTCATATAATCAATTGAATGAGTGAGAAATACTCCAAAAAAGAGTCCTGTGACTGTTTTAATCACAACCTTTCACCCAAAAAACTCTCCGAAACTCGTGAGAAAACCCACCTGTTTCCCAGTTGATTTTTTTTGAGCTTAAAACTTGGGTGCTTTCAAATGTAAAATTAAAAATGAATAAGTTATTTCTGGAAATGATGACTGAGTAATTAGTTCAGTTCTGGAGATGATAATTCAGTAATTCGTTCAGTTCTGGAGATGATAATTGAATTAGCAATGAAAAATTGAGAAGAACAGCTTTGCTTATGAACAGTTTATGCGCAATGAGTTTTGAAAAGAGATTTAAGCTCAAACTTTGAATCCTTTCACAAACCATTCTTCAAGATTACAACCTAAATCTTGTTTTGAAAAAAAGTTAGCATTTGCAAGCCTTTATCATGCCTTCAATCGAATTCAAACCAATCTTTGACTTTTCAATCATTTCAGCTTTAAGGAGTTGCCTCCTCAAAGCTTTTCTCCTTTAGCAACCCAATTTCCCCAGCGGGAATCCATATTGTTGTGGGAGAAAAGAAAAAGAAACACTCTTTTAACGCCAAAAAGAAAGGCTGGCCAAGAAAAAAAGGCTGGCCAACGGGTGGAAAGCCAATTTGGTCATTAGTCGCCGAATTCCCGGGATTTGTTGAGGGACCCCGTTATTCCACGACAACAGCTGAGTCCCTCAAATTTTCGGGATATGTTCTAGTGGCTTTTGTTCGACCAAAATTCGACGCGTAATTGAAAAAACGTCAACTTGTTTTGAAAAATAAAGATTTGAGCGGGGGAAAAGTTAGGTTTTGAGCTAATAGTAAGCGACAAACAGCGATCGGGTTGCTTAGGGACTTAGTAAAGGAGTTGATTTTACACTTGGACAACAAGGAGACTTGCTTAACAAAGACAAACTTGCTAGCAAGGTTGTTGAGCCAATGGTCAGACAAAATCATGACCAGATCAGAAGTCAAGTTCTGGGTCGGGTAATAAATCTAGTGACTTGTGACTAGCGACCTGCGTCTAGCGTTCTAGCAAAAGCCATCTAGCGATTACGAGCTTGTCATAAAACAGCACTTTTTTGTCAAAGACGCCGAAAAGTACATTGTATGTAAAGAATTAACCAAAAAGTAAAGAATTCACAATAGCCGACTGGAAAAACTGGTAATGTTGGACTTTTGTTGGACCGGTTAGACTTTTGCACCCAATTCACACGAATTCCAATGTAAATTAACTTTTCCTTTCTCATTTCCTTTAAACCCAATAAGTTCCGTAATCGAGCCGCGAAATCAAAGTTCTCTCGTTCAGTTGGGTATGTCGATGGATTGACCTTGACAGAGAACCAAAAAGGGAACTTTTTTCGTTGAGAGAGAAATCCCAGTGAACTGTGATGACGTTCTAGACGTCAATGAGCATTTGATTTAAGGGGAAAATATATGAAAAAATAATTTTAGGGTAGACAAGTCAAAGCTTATTAAGTCTTCACATAAACTCTGTCAAAAAATCATACGCAGTCGACTTTTTTGCTAGTTTTGAGCGCACCATACGTGCTAGGCCAATGAAAAGTCTTTTTTCGGTTTCTTTAACGTAAAAAAGACCCATTGCAAGTGATTTCACTCATCCAAAGTATTTTATCGTACAAATAACGTACAGATCGTACAAGCTACGTACAAATTAGGTACAAATTACGTACAAATTAGGTACAAATTGTACAAATTACAATTACGAAGTACCAAAAGATTGTAGAAACTGAAGAATAAATCAATCCTATACTATTCTATTTAAATTCAAATTCAAATTCAAATTCAATGACTAGCTAACACTTGAAACTAGGGCAGATCAACATACTCGTGCGCCGCCGGGACTCGAACCCGCGACCTGTGGCTCACCGGACAACTGTGCTAATCATTACACCACCATGCACTTGATCTCCTTTGCTCCAGAGGGAGTTAACGTCCACAGAGGAGAGAAGTTAACCGGTAAGCGAAACGTTCAGAGAGGAGGAAAGTTAACTCCCCTCTGGAGTAAGGGAAATCAAGTGTTTTGTGGTGTAATGGTTAGCACCCTTCTCCGGCAAGCAGAGGGTCGCGGGTTCGAGTCCCGGCGGCGTACAACCTTTTGATTCAAATCTTTTGATTGATTTTTGATTCAATCCCTATTCAAATTCAAACTCTAAATTCAAACTTGTTAACTTAATTAATGATAAATCTGAATTAAAGCACTATCTTCAAAACGAATTACGTGAATTCCTGAGAAACAATAATGTTGTAAGAAAATAAGTTAAAACAAAATGCTTAGAAACAAAAGGAGGTCAAACTAATCGATTAAATTCATCATTTTTGCGTTTTTTTCCAAGTCAGCGATATAACGAATAGATTTAGCCAGTTTGTATGACTTTTAAAAGTATAATAAGAGCTGTATTGTTAGATTAGAGCTGGATTGTTAGATAAGAGCTGTTATTACAAGCTCCAGCAAGTTAAGCAGTTCTAAGGCTGAACAAGCTAAAGTTCTTACAACTTTACACCCTGTTATTGCAACTCTCAATCCCAAAGATTGAGAATTTAGTTCTTAATCAAGAATCCAACACGTTTAGGTTTCAGTTTCAGTTCATTTAGCAGTTCCATATCTGAAGTTTTGTTTTGAAGCACTTGGATTTGCGTAGTTCAATTCCAAAACTCTAAACAACCAAAACTTTTCCTGATTGACAATTTTGAAGAACTGAATGAATTGAATGAATTGAATGAATGAAATGAACGGAATTAACTGAATAAATTGAATAAATTGAGTGAATTGAATAAATTGAATAAATTGAATAAATTGAATGAATTGAATTAACTGAATGAATTGAATGAATGAATTTTGAACTAAAAAGCATTCTTTTAGACAGCACAAGTTCATCGCTCGTTTCTTCAAGCAGCCGACTTTCTGCTCACATTGCAAGGATTTTCTCTGGGGCATCACAAAGCAGGGATTTCAGTGTCAAGGTTTATTTGGATTTATAGCCCAAAAAACAACAACTGTGTACTGTACTGTACTGTACTGTAACCTATGTGACTTTGAAGTCATAGAAACAAAGTGGACTTGATTAGACATTTGGACATTACATTTGAACTTGATTAAAAGGTTCACGAACTCGTCATGTCGTCAAATTTCACTACAATTGTTTTGCAGTGTCGCCAACTCCAAAAAAAACGCATCTATCTCAGCGCTGCCTAAAGATATTAATTTTATTTCAAAGTACAGCACAGTACAGTTTCTCTGGGGAATCACAAAGCAGGGATTTCAGTGTCAAGGTTTATTTGAATTCATAGCCCAAAAAAAACAACTGTGTACTGTACTGTAACCTCAAAAACCTTTTAATCAAGTTCAAATGTAATGTCCAAATGTCCAATCAAGTCCACTTTGGTTCTATGACTTCAATGACTTCAATGACTTCAATGAAGTCCACTTCTATCACTTCAATGACTTCAATAACTTCAATAACTTCAAAGTCATATCATTTCCAAGTCTTTCTCCAGCTTTTCCTCACAATTTTTGATCTCGCAACTCATTTTTATCTTTCAAATACTTGATTTTAGCACGGATTTCAGTGTCAAGGTTTATTTGAATTCAATTTGGTAAATTAAAGAGTTTTCTTCTCAAAAACACTCTAATTTACCAATTTGAACTCAAAAAAAAACTGATGAAAACACAAAGGACACAAGTATGAAAGTTTTCTGCAAAAAAAAGGAAGCCAACCGATTTCTTTACGCATCACCGAGTTCCTCATTCCGTCAAAAATAACGGGGTAGATCAAAAGAGAAAAGAGGGGACTTTTTTAATTTTCTCTTTGCTTTTGCTGGAAAGCTAATTCTTTTCTCATTCGGTTTCTTTGTGCAACTCATAGAAGGGAGAAGAAAGGTGTGTGTTTCTGCTTGACAACGGGGGCGGAAAGAGCCAAAAATGGCTAAAAATGGGGAAACTCAACTCTTCAAGACTTTAGCCTTTAAGGATTAGAGATTAGTAAAGAGTTCTTTGTCAAAAGTCTTGATGTTCGTTTTGTCTTGATGTTCATAACATCTATGAACATCTAATTTGTAAGCTAGCGTGGGGGTGGCTGGGTTTCAAGTGTTGCAAAAGACTCCAAATTTCTAGACGTCAATAACTCAACACTTTAACTTCAAGGATTAGAGATTAGTAAAGAAAGCTTTGTTAGAGAAATGTCTTAGTGTTCAAAACATCTTCATGATACATAACTTGTTGACCAGCCAAAAAATCGCCCTAGTTAGCGGCAAATTCTTTGGGCAACTGGGTTCTTTGCGCAACTCGCCATAACTTTCTTTCAATTCAATTAATCTTTATGTTTTTGGTGTCATTTTGTTGCCCTTGTTGAGATCTACAAAATGACACCAAAATCATAAAGATTGGCTGACTTAGAATAATGTTATAGCGAGTTGAAGAAAATTGGCGCAGAGTAGCCACCCCTGAAAAACCCAAGGGCGGGTTTTTCTGGCGGGACTCACTGGTCGCCGTGACGCAGTCGGGAGCTTGCTTGTTTACGGTTCACACGACACGAGTTCGGCTCCCGACTGTGTCATGGCTTTTGTTTTTAAAAAACGGAATATGAGATGCACAACTACATAGAATTCTAAGCCTAATAAGCTAAAAGTCATGTAAATCGGTCCACTGGAAGCCGAGAGCTGGCTCGTACAGACAGACAGACAGGCAGACAGACAGGCAGACAGACAGGCAGGCAGGCAGGCAGGCAGGCAGGCAGGCAGGCAGACAGACAGGCAGACAGACAGCCACTTCCCTTCTATATGTAAATCTTGCTGGTCCACTCATTTATTTGCCGAATAAAGTATTATATTAGATGCTTGTAGGAGTAGATGAAACAAAACCCTACTAGGATTAGACTTCATGGATTAGTCAAGCCTCTTTGCTAGTGTAATGGCTCAAGTCCATGGATATAATCAAATTTTTCTTTCTTGAGCGATTGCGGGGCAATAATGAAGTAGAGGAGCTAAAGAAGAGATCGAAAATCTAGAAAAGTGCTTAATCCAAACTTCTTGCAGGCTGCAAATAATATCTTGAGACTTTACACTGAGCAATCAAAACTTTTGCAAACTTTCAACTGATAACCCGCGTGGTAAACTTTATTCTAAATGAAACGCCATATTTTGCCACTTCTAAATCCCCTTTAAGCCCCAATGGTGGTTGGCTTTAGTTTCTGGAAAATGAGTCAAAAGTTGGGCAGTGAAAAACTAGAAATTGAAGATAATAAACCAAAAATTCTATTTTAGGCAAAAGGGCAAAAGTTGGAGAGTGAAAAACGAGAAATTGAAGAATATATTAAGGTCAAAATTTTAGTTTGCACCCTTGTCGTCCACAAGAGATGCCATGAGTTTGTCAACTTTGCATGTCCGGGCGCTGACAAAGGAGCTGATACAGATGTGAGTTTCTGAAGATGCTGAGCATTACTCATCAATGACTTTGGCTCAAGACTAGCTTCTTCAATCAATTACAGCTTACAGATCAGTTATTAGATCAGATCAGAATACTCAATTAGCTACGAATGTTGAAAACTTTAGCTAACTTTTCGCCAATCTTCTTCCAAGCATCGGAGTCTAAGAACTAGATTCCTAGATTGGATTCCTAGAGACTTTATGAACTTTTAATTCTTTAAAACCAATTTCTGAACTTTTAAACTGCAATTTTTTTGATCTATGACCTTGAGCAACTATTTTATGACATAATCTTTCTGTTTCAACAAAACAAAAACGAAAATCAAAAGTTTTTTCAAGTCGTTCAGTCTGGTTTCCGTTAATTTTATCGTCGCCCATAAAAACCAACTAAACCATCGCCCAGCCGTAGTCGATTTCAAGAAAACCAAAAAACAAACTAAAAATGAAATTTGAGATAAATTGCAAGCTTTTCAGGATCCAAGACAGCAACACAAATGGAAAGATCAAACCTACTCGTCACCGACATTCTGCGATCATTGTGGATCGCTTTTGTATGGTTTGATTAGACAGGTAAATAAATAATTAATAATAATCTGAGCCTTAGCAATGCATTTGAAATAAATTTTAATTTTAATTATAATTTGAACTTTTGCAATACATTCAGCAATGAAACAGAAGAGTTTTATTTCAAAAATTCATTTCAGGGAGTGAAATGCCAATCTTGCGACACGAATGTTCATCATCGATGCGTGAAAAATGTGCCGAATCTGTGTGGAACGGACAATACGGAAAAGCGAGGAAGAATGCTGCTCGATATTCGAGTTGAAGGAGGAGAGTTGAGGATACACGGTTAGTTGAGCGAATCTTTTAAAGAAAAAACAAAACAATCATGTTAACGGGCAGGCCTGCTCTCCACAGGTTGTAGATATGAATGTACTGACCTGCGAAGAATCGATCTGTTTAGTAACATTTGGAAAAATTCGGCTCTTGTTTGGTTTCCGAGTATTTCGCACGGGTCGTAAGACTTTGAAGGCCTATAACTTTGTCGAGAGATAAGATTTTTATTAACATTTTATATCATTGTACAGAGGACATTTTAGGCTTTCAAATGATACCAAATAGAGCTTGTTTCGATAATCCAGTCCAAGAAAATCAGAGCCAGCTCTGAGCAAATGAGGCCTATCCAACTCGGGTATTGTATCGCCTGGTTTGTATGGGAATGAAAAATCCAGTCAAGCTCTATTTGGTATCATTTGAAAGACTAAAATGTCCTCTGTACAATGATCTAAAAAGTTAACAGTGATATTATCTCTGGACAAAGTTAAAGGGCTTCAAAGCTTCATAGATATGGAAAAATTCGGCCCTTGAGGGGTTTCGGAAATTTTGAAGTGTTAGAACACTATTAGTTAGAAATTCAGTTAGAAATGAACTACGGTTTCTTTCATAAGAAAGGCCAAAAAAAGAAAAAGACTTTCTGGACAGCCTAATGCTAAATGTCTAGTTTCATTTTCTTTCATTCACCACAAAAGAGCAGATTTACTAGTTGAAAATTGGTCTTTTATTATCTGTAGTTCATTAGCTACAGATCATAAAGAACTACAGAGTTCATTAGCTGTAGTTCAGCTGTAGTTCATTAGCTATAGATCATAAAGGACTCATAAAGCTAATGAACTACAGATAATAAAAGGAGAGTTTTACTTGTTTTCTTGTATATTTGTAGAAAATTGTTCTCAACATCTTTATTTTCAGTGAAAGAAGCGAAGAACCTGATTCCGATGGACCCGAATGGTCTCTCTGATCCCTATGTAAAGTTGAAGCTAATCCCTGAAGATGTTGGATGCAAATCAAAGCAAAAAACGAAAACCCTCCGAGCCACACTCAATCCCACTTGGGATGAGAAATTCACATAGTAAGAAACCTTTAAATAAATCTCAAATCAATTTTAGCAAACTCTTACCTACTGATCGAGATCGACGATTATCGATCGAGGTTTGGGATTGGGATCGAACGTCGAGGAATGATTTTATGGGATCAATGTCATTCGGAATTTCTGAATTGATCAAAGAGGGAGTGACTGGATGGTTCAAGCTATTGAATGAGGTAGGAATTGGCATTATTATTCAAGTTATTGAATCAGGTCATCATTAACGACCGAACGTTAGTCGCGCTAGTCCTGAAGAGATTACATCTCTTCAGGACTTCTTAATCATAACCTTTTGTAGACTTTCAATCTACATGATTTTAATGTCATCCAATGCGCGAGAACATTTCCCATCAAATAACATCAAAAATATTCATATTAGACCTATTAACATTTATGAAAAGTTCTGGTCAAAGTTTGTTTAACACTTAAAAACAATTGGGAGACTAATACCGGTAAAGTACACCTTGTTCCAGAAAATTTTCATCAATTGTGAAGTATTTAGTAAAGAAGTAAGGAAGTAAAGAAGAAGTTCTTCTAGTAAAGAAGTTCTTCTACTAAAGAAGTAAAGGAGTTCTTCTAGTAAAGAAATGAAGAAGAAGTTCTTCTAGTAAAGAAGTAAAGAAGAAGTTCTTCTAGTAAAGAAGTAAAGAAGTTCTTCTAGTAAAGAAGTAAAGAAGAAGTTCTTCTACTAAAGAAGTAAAGAAGTTCTTCTAGTAAAGAAGCTTTAAAATTAAAGTATCATTTAAAACTAAATTAAGTACAAATAAAGGAACTTGAATTGTTCAGGAAGAAGGCGAATTCTACAACATTCCCATTCCACCCGAAGTCGAGGAAGAGATGGAGAAAATGCGCAAGAAAATGGAGGAAATGAATGTAAATTTTACTTTTTTGATTTTAAACTGATCCACCAATTTTTTTAAGAGAAAGAGAAAATCGAAAAGAGAGGTGAGTTCAGCTCCCAATAGATCTTTTTTCTTTTTTGATTTCCATTAGAGTTTGGTTTTGATGTGACGATTTCTCCCATAAGATAAAAATTTCAGTCAAATCGAGAAAAGATGTCTCCAAAGCCGAAGGATCCAAATAAATCACCGTCCCCGAAAAGTGATGTCATTAAAGCGTCGGATTTCAGCTTCATCACGGTGCTTGGGAAGGGATCATTTGGAAAGGTATTGTAGTTAAGCTTGGAGCTAAGCTTGGAGCGAAGCTTGGAGCGAAGCTTGGAGCGAAGCTTGGAGCTAAGCTTGTAGCTTTAACAACGTTTGATTCATAGCTTACAATCCAATAGCTTTCCTTAGCAACTTTCTAGACAGTTAGCGAATCTAAACCTTGTAGCTGACAATGAAGAAGGAAGTTAAGTTATTTCACGGACCAGCAGCAAAAAGTAAAAGAATTGTGGCAAAAGGAATCGAACCCGCGATAAAACCTCATGTCATTTGGCCACCTGTGACCTTGACCAAAACCTCCCAAAGCCTTCTAAAGCCTTCCAAAGCATTCCTAAGCCTTTCAGAGCCTTTCAAAGTCTTTCAAAGCCTTTCAAAGCCTTCCAAAGCCTTTCAAAGCCTTCCAAAGCCTTTCAAAGCCTTTCAAAGCCTTACAAAGCCTTCCAAAGCCTTTCAAAACCTTTCAAAGCCTTTCAAAGCCTTGTGATCTTCCCTTGGAAGTAAATAAGCCAAGTTTTTAATAGAAAAACGTATATAAGTGGAGGATTTATTCTAGAATCGCGAAACTATTTAACAATGTTTGATTCATTGCAACTTTAGGTACTTCTTGGTGAGCACAAAGCGACAAAAGAGCTCTTTGCGATCAAGATCTTGAAAAAGGATGTGATCATTCAGGTTTGAGAAACATTTCAGATTCGCCATCAAATCGCTATACAGATTTCAGCTTAACTCTTCTTGACTTTTAAATGAAACATTTGTATTTCCTTCAGGATGATGACATTGAATGCACGATGACCGAGAAACGAGTGTTAGCTCTTCCCGACAAGCCGCCATTCTTGGTTGCCTTGCATTCGTGTTTCCAAACAATGGTGAGAATAAATTTGATTTGTAATTGTAATACAAATGTGATACCAAATGTAGTACAAACCATCATTCTTGGTTTCCTTGCATTCGTGTTTCCAAAATGATTCGTATTAGGTATACCCATAAGTCTTAGTAACAGTCTTGGTTTAAAAATTTATTCACAACCAAACAAGAAGTTTACTCGAAACAGTTTCCGTTATTTTGGATAACTTTCGCCTATAACTAAGCGTCACTAAGCGTCACTAAGCGCAGTAAAAAAGATTTCTGTTTATGTTTCGAAAGAAACGCAACTGAAATTGATGATCTCTGCTCTTTCATGGCAGAGATCATCAATTTCAGTTGCGTATTGGGTAAGGGTATGAGGTACCCATTGATTAAAAATTGACTTAAAGCTGATTGCTGTATAATAAAGCATTAACAGTCTGCTTATTTTCAAGAATTTCCCAGTAAATGACTCCTTTGAGATCCCACTAAACTGATAGCGTAAACTTCTTTTGATGGGGATCAAGGAGGACATCATTGGCAGCTGAAACTCCAGGCCCTACTCATTGAAGCTTTCGTTGAAAGTTTGCGGTGAGAATCCACTTCTTGTTTCCTGTCACCAAGCGCGGCAAAAAAGATTTCCGTTCATGTCTCAAAAGAAGCGTAGCTGAAATTGATGATTTCTGCCCTTTCATGGGGTCAGTAAGGGTATGGGTACCCATTGATCAAAAATTGACTTAAAACCCAGCTCATAAAGGTGTCTTTCGTTGAATGTGAGTGCCCAATCGCCTCCACTATTTCACGAGTAGATCCGAGGATTGTCTTGAGTTTTTTTTTGAAGAATCTCTTCATTTTTCAATTGAGAAGGTCTTCCCGCACTTTCTTCGTCTTTAAGGGAATTCTCACTATTTCTGAACTTGGCAAACCAACGTTGAATTGTGTTTCGAAAAGGAGCCTCATTGTCATACACGTTTTCAATATTATTCTAGGTCACCGACAAAGAAGATCCTTTGAACTCGTACAAAATAACTCAGCTGTCCTGGTGTCCTGGTGAAAGATCTGGGTCTCAGCTGTCCTGGTGTCCTGGTGAAAGATCTGGGTCTCAGCTGTCCTGGTGTCCTGGTGAAAGATCTGGGTCTCAGCTGTCCTGGTGTCCTGGTGAAAGATCTGGGTCTCAGCTGTCCTGGTGTCCTGGTGAAAGATCTGGGTCTCAGCTGTCCTGGTGTCCTGGTGAAAGATCTGGGTCTCAGCTGTCCTGGTGTCCTGGTGAAAGATCTGGGTCTCAGCTGTTCTGGTGAAAGATCTGGGATAGCCATTGAGTAAAAAATCAATTTAAAAAAATGGAGGAAGCATTGGAGTTATGAAATCTTTTGAAAGGGGATTGATAAGCCGACTTTTTGGATGTAAACAGAACGGGGAAAGTCGAACGCATAAGAACCAAATGCTTTGAAAGAATAAAGTGTTGCCAAGAATTTTGAGTCAATCTAATAATATAGATTGATCAAGGTTAAATGCTAATTTTCTTAGGATCGACTCTATTTCGTGATGGAATTCGTGAACGGCGGTGACTTGATGTACCAAATTCAGCAAGCTGGCAAATTCAAGGAGCCAGTTGCATGGTAGATTTTTACATTTTTACTAAAAATCCCTTTTTGCCATCAATTTTTCAATGACATCAAATTTTTCAGCTTTTATGCGGCCGAAATCGCGGTTGGGTTGTTCTTTTTGCATTCAAAGGGGATCATTTATCGAGATCTGAAGCTCGACAACGTCATGTTGGAAAGAGATGGGCATATAAAGGTTAGCAAAATTTAAACAATATAGCAGAAAATTAGCAGAAAAACGATAGCTTATTCAATCGGAATTGCTTGAAATCTTTTTTACAGTACCTAAAGCGTTTCATACTTTAACACCTTCACTACAAGGTTTTTTTGATTTTTGCGTAAGTTCTTTCCCTTCTAGCTCGTCTAAAAACGTTCACAGGCAACCGATCTATTTAAGCTGAAGGTCAAAATGAAAAGAAATGTTTGAGGATGATTTAACTGAAAACAGATTAAAGAAATATTGAATTTAAGGAGAGTTATGAACCTTTGAATGGAAAATACCGGGAAAATATCGGTGACCCGGGAAAATATCGGTGACCCGGGAAACTACCGATGACCCGGGAAACTACCGATGACCCGGGAAACTACCGGTGACCCGGGAAACTACCGATGACCCGGGAAACTACCGGTGACCCGGGAAACTACCGGTGACCCGGGAAACTACCGATGACCCGGGAAACTACCGATGACCCGGGAAACTACCGGTGACCCGGGAAACTACCGGTGACCCGGGAAACTACCGGTGACCCGGGAAACTACCGGTGACCCGGGAAACTACCGTTGACCCGGGAAACTACCGTTGACCCGGGAAACTACCGTTGGCCCGAGGAATTACCGTTGACCCGGGAAACTACCGTTGACCCGGGAAACTACCGTTGACCCGGGAAACTACCGATGGCCCGAGAAATTACCGATGACCCGGGAAATCTCTCATGCTAAAACACTTTGAACTTTCTCGGGCCATCGGTAGTTTCCCGGGTCATCGGTAATTCCTCGGGTCAACGGTAGTTTCCCGGGCCATCGGTAGTTTCCCGGCCATCGGTAGTTTCCCGGGTCACCGATATTTTCCCGGTAATTTCCATTCAAAGGTTCATAACTCTCCTTAAATTCAATATTTCTTGAATCTGTTTTCAGTTAAATCATCCTCAAACATTTCTTTTCATTTTGACCTTCAGCTTAAATAGATCGGTTGCCTGTGAACGTTTTTAGACGAGCTAGAAGGGAAAGAACTTGCGTAAAAATCAAAAGGCCTCTTTGTGAATGTGAAAGTGAACAATCAATCTGCTGATTATCGATAAACCTGGTAATTACGCTATTTTGTAGATAATCTAAACTCAAATCATTTTTACGATTATTTTTTAGATCACTGACTTCGGAATGTGCAAAGAGGGAATCGTCGGCGATGCGACAACGAAAACGTTTTGTGGAACGCCCGATTACATTGCTCCTGAGGTTTTTATTATATTCTAAACTAATGTTATATTCTAAACTAATAAAAAAGCTTTAAATCCTTTAAAAAACTATGACTTCTAGATTATTCTCTATCAACCATACGGCAAATCGGTCGATTGGTGGGCGTATGGAGTGTTGTTATTCGAGATGTTAGCTGGCCAGCCGCCATTTGATGGAGAGGATGAGGATGAGCTTTTCACAGGTAGCTTTTGCTAGTTTGCTAGTTGCTAGTTAAATAAAATCTCAAGGTTTATGTTTTTGAGTCGATTTAAATCATGTTTTAGCTATCACTGAGCACAACGTCTCTTACCCGAAAGCACTTTCGAAAGAATCGGTCTCACTATGCAAGGGATTCCTTCAAAAGAATCCAACGAAACGGCTAGGTTGTGGAGGTGCCGGGAATCGGGATATTCAGGTGAGCATTGGAACTGGAGATAAATATTAGGTGTGTGAAAAAGTAATCCACGTTTTTAACGTTCAAATATAAAAGATCATAAGTTTCGTTAAAATAATTTTTATTCAACGAAGTAATCACCATTCGAAAGAACAACCTTTTGCCAACGTTCTACAAGTAAAAACATTCCACGATAATAAAAATCTTGGTCCCCTAGAGGCGAAGAAAAGAGCAGCCTCAGTTTTGACATCTTCTTGGAATTGAACTTCTTGGAATTGAACCGTTTATTGGCCCAAAAAGTTAGACAGAGACAAAAATAAATAATAATCAGATGGAGAAAGGTCTGAACTATAAGGTGGATGTGGTAAAACCTCCCATCCAACACTCTGGATTTTTTGTCGAGTCTGTAAAGAGACATGTGGTTGCGCGCTATCGTTCATGCGGTATCCATTTGTCCAACTTTTTGATAAAATTCATGGCATTCAAGCGTTTCCTTACGGTTGACCCATCACAATTTAATGTAAGGCCTATTTCTGAAGAGGTTGAATGAGAGTTTTCGAGAAGACAGTGTCTTATTTGGTCATCAGATAAAAATAAAAAACGTGGATTACTTTTTCACACACCTAATATAATAAAAAGAGCTAAAGATCGATCTGATCGACTATTAAGTACTTGCAAAAGAAACTGCGAATCATAAAAACCATCATAAAAATCGACTGTAAGTAAAGATGAAAAAGTAAAATTATCCATATTATCGAAACAAATGGTAAGCTCATGTTCGACCGTTCAAATCTCGGTTCCTAGAACAGCTATCAGTCTCTGTTTCTGACGACTTCCATGTGTACCTTTGGTCTAATCCTGAAGTAGAATTCGACCAAAGCTATTAGGTTGAGTACTAAGTCTTGCACTAAGACTTCCTAGTCAATATTATCGATACAAGCGGCAAGCTGATGTTCGACCGTTCAAATCTCGGTTTCTAGAACAGCTATCAGGCTGCAAATTGTTTCATTGGAAAGCCAAGAATGTCAGCTTTTGATTGCTAGTTTATACATAGCACATTCTCATAGCTAAGTGTCTTAAAAAGCTTAGCCATGCTGATTGATAAGCTTTTCGACAAGCTCGATAATCGATACGTTCGATATCAATCAGTAAGGTGATAGCTGTTCTAACGGCTGTTTATACATAGCACATTCTCATAGCTGAGTGTCTTAAAAAGCTAATCAATGCTGATTGATAAGGTTTATGAGGTACTCTCATGAAAAATCGTTATGCAAATCCGATGGTCCGATTAATCTGATGGATTTCAGTGTTTGGAATGTTCTTGAAGCAAAAAACGTGCTTAAAACCGCATTCCAGTATCTATTCGCTTAAGAAATATCTTCAAAAAGCACGATAAACTCGATCACGCTTACTAGACTTGCTTATCGATATTATCGATACAAACGACAAGCTCATGTTTGACCTTTTAGATCTCGGTTTCTAGAACAGCTATCAATCTGAAAATTGTTTCATTGAAAAGCCAAGAATGTCATCTTTTGATTGCTAGTTTATACATAGCAAATTCTCATAGGTCAGTGCCTTAAAAAGCTTCTCAATACTCATCGATACTCAAATATCGATAGCGATTTTTAATGACCAAGCACCTCATTAACCTTATCGATACTTATCGATAAGCTTATCGATATTTGAGTATCGATGAGTCATGAGAAGCTTTTTAAGGCATTCACCTATGAGAATGTGCTATGTATAAACTAGCAATCAAAAGCAATCATTCTTGACTTTCCAATGAAACAATTTTCAGATTGATAGCTGTTCTAGAAACCGATGTTTGAACGGTCAAACATAAGCTTGTCGTTTGTATCGATAAGCAATACACAATTAAGAAACAATCACAATCAACAATCAAGAAACACCAGCTCAGTCTTTCCCTGTTGTCTTGCATAGTTTAAACTGGTTAAGCTCGAACATTCTGAAGTACTTGCCTCTAAACAAAGTCCAGAAACCCACAAAGAGCTCATTTGCTTTAAAGTGATGTTCTAAAATGATCTGTTCTAAAATGGAATAAAAAGAATGGAGATTTGTACCAAAATCAGATCTCCATTCTGGAAAACTTCTTTTCTTACAGCTTTTCTTACAGCTTTTCATACAAAAATTACAGGAACACACCTTCTTTCGAAGGATAGATTGGTTGAAAATCGAGGCCAGACAAGTTCAACCACCTTACAAGCCAAAAGTGGTATGTTTTTTCGCAAATCTCAGGCTTAACTTCTTTCTTTCCAAAAATTTTCCGAAATGAATGTCATTCTCGTTGTCGCGGCATGAAATTTCAACATGGACTTGTTCTTTGGCAAAATTTTGAAAAAAATTAAGCAAATATTGGGTTGGTGAATTGAAAACTGCGGGAATTTGAACTAAAATTTATTCAACATAAAACCATCAATTCATTCCAAATAATTTCCATTATTATTGACGACTCCTGCCCATTTTACAGGCAATTTGCGGATTCCTCTTTCGTAGTAGGATTTGGGTTTGTGTGTGAGACAAGTGTGAGACTCAAAAATGGAGGACTGTGTCAGCTGTGAGCAATTTGAGCACTTTCTTCAAAAGAAACCCGTTTTGGTGTCAATGGAAAAGTTGTAGAGAATCAAAAATTAGGCTTATAGCCAAATTTCCAAAAAGATACACTTAGTAGTTTCGTTTAAAATGCAGGTTTTGTGAAAATTCGTAAATTTCGCATTTCTTGAAAACCAGTTTTTGAATCGTTCTGAAAATTTGGATATAAGCTTGATTTTTGATTCTCTACAACTTTTCCATTGACACCAAAATGGGTTTCTTTTGAAGAAAGTGCTCAAATTGTCACATATGACAATAGCCCGCAGTTTTTAATTCACCAACCCAATGCTTTGTAAAACAGCCTTTCCGATGCACTTAAATCAAATTCTCTTGAGAAAAGAAAGCTTACTTTATAGCTCAGTGCGCCAGAAAGATTGTATTTCCGTTTCTTGAACACAAAGTACGGGAACAAGTCTATTTCATCTATTTCATCTATTTCAACTGTGACTCTATTAGCCGTAAACTAGAGGAAATCTTAAAAGTATAAGCACAGCATGATTCACAAAATTTCTCTTCGTGTTTCCCCACTTTTGGTGTGCAATTTCAGAGAAGCAACATTTCGACAGAGAATTTCGACACATCTTTCCTCAAACTGCCCGTCAAATTAACCCCACCCGATATGGCGGTTTTGGGGAATATTCGCGGAGACGAGTTTGGCGAGTTCTCATTTGTCAATCCGATGTTCTTGCATACGGTAGACGATGAACCGCTCAACTTTGGACATTCGAATTCCCTTTCATAGTGCAAATGAGAGAATGTTTCTACAGAATTTCTATAGAATTTCTATAGAATTCTTTTTTCTATTGAACTTGATGAGAAACGGGTTTTTATTGAAGAAACATTATAGGTTCCCTTTTGCCATTGGCAATCTAGCTTTCAGCTCAAATATCTTGGTGCTTGGCTGTCCAATTTAAATAGTTTTTGTACCAATCGACAGAGAAAGAGTGGGCGCATCTAATGATACAAAGAATATTTAGATTGGGCAGCCCAACAACAAACTGTTTGAGCTCAAAGTTAGATTGTCAATGGCAAAGGGGCAGGCCTTATTAGATGTCCGATAACCTTCTTTACAGCCAGTATTTAAAGTACCCGTTCTAGAGATAGAATAGAATAGAAATTTTCAATCTTATTCACAAAGGAAGATCAACTGGTTGAGCCGGCCAAATGCTATGCGATCTATTCGACAAAGAACACTAGTCAGCACTTCTTGAAAAAGTAAAAAGAACCCGAAGTGGGAACCGAACTTGTGGGGTTTCGCTCTGGAAACGAACGCTGTACCACTCGGCCACAACCGCATCGAGACCGGCCGCAACGAAGCCGCTAAGGAGACCGCAAGGAGGCTGCTAAGGCTTAGGCTCAGGCTCAGGCTCAGGCTCAGGCTTAGGCTCCCGCCCCTCGGCTTGGCTTAGGTCGCAAGGACGCCGCTAAGGACGCCGCAAGAAAACCCAAATGATCACATTTTCAGAGTCCTAACAAAACTTTAGACGCTTATAAATCCTGGTTGTCATTTAGCAAAAACGGAATAGATATTCGGAATCAGCATCAAATTCTGCGTCGAATGGAACAGATCTCAAAGGATTTGGCCGACTCAGCCAGTTGATTTTCTCTTGTCAGTTATTGAGAAAATTTTCGAAGATTTTGTTTCAAAAAGCTGTTTCTCATCAAGTTTTTCCCCATTCCTTTTCCTCGATTTTTCCACGTCAACCCCAAAACCTAGATCTCCTCAAGAAAAAAACAAAGAAACAGAAAAGTCGACTTACATTTCGTCCAAACTTTTTCTGGTGCCATAAAGTAAGAAAAATTTCGATGTAAAAACAAATTGGGTATTTGATTTTTCACGAAAAGTTTACTATGAATTTTAAAAAATTCAATCAAACCATTTCTAAACTACCGTATTTTCTCTAATAGTAGTGCACCCCGGCGAGCCGAGTTGGTGACGATTTTACGGTTTCGAAACTTTTGCAGAAGCTCAACACTCTAATTCCCGAAAAGACCTCATCGTCAGCTACATTTTCCGACCCCACATCGATAGGTTCTGATAAGCGGTTCTCGAGATATAGAGGAATTTAGGCGACGCTCAGGGTGCACTACTATTGGGTTGGTGGATTGAAAACTGCGGGAATTTGAACTAAAATTTATTCAACATAAAACCATCAATTCATTCCAAATAATTTTCATTATTATTGACGACTTCTGCCCATTTTACAGGTAATTTGCGGATTCCTCTTTCGTAGTAGGATTTTGGTTTGTGTGTGAGACAAGTGTGAGACTCAAGAATCGAGGACTGGAGATGTCAGCTGTCAGCCCAGTTTGAGCACTTTCTTCAAAAGAAACCCATTTTGGTGTCAATAGAAAAGTTGTAGAGAATCAAAAATTAGGCTTATATCCAAATTTCCAAAAAGATACACTTAGTAGTTTCGCTTAAAATGCAAGTTTTATTGCAAGTTTTGTGAAAATTCGTAAATTTGGCATTTCTTGAAAGCCAATTTTTGAATCATTCTGAAAATTTGGATATAAGCTTGATTTTTGATTCTCTACAACTTTTCCATTGACACCAAAATGGGTTTCTTTTGAAGAAAGCGCTCAAACTGTCACATATGACAATAACCCGCAGTTTTCAATTCACCATTCCAATATTAGGGAAAATACGGTATTTCTTTTTCTAATGAAATGAAAGAAAACTTTTTCTTTTCTATTTTGTGCGTGTTTTTGAAACTTTTTGAAGTGAAAACATGACAAAATTTCAAAATTTTAATGAATTCCGATAACTTTTCTAAGAAAATACACAAAATTGAAGAAAAGACACCTCTTCGCATTTCCCTTATTGTTCAAATTTGTCGTTTTTTCAGGTGAATAAATGAAATATTTGCCAGATTAGCTGAATATTTCAAAAGATAGCCTATTTATTGACAATTTCGGTGTTTACTCTTTACCATTTTAGATATTCTGTGTAGTAAAATTTGCATGTGAAACTTTCTTCTATAGAAATTCTCTTAAAGCCACTTTGAGGACGTAAAAAGAAAAGCAATATTTTGCTAATAAAATATTCAAAGTGGTTACTGGTTATGCTAATTTTTTCCTATGCAAATCGCGTATTTCTTTGAATGACGCAAAAACAAACACCGTTTTTCTTGATATCGTTGTTTTTGGCTTCTCTTTCTTCATCACCCTTTACACACAATGAATGGAATGCTCTGTTGTTCCTCTTTTTCTCTTTTTTTTTTGCCCGATAAAGCTGGTATTACAATTAAATTGTATAAAACAAAAGAAAATGATAATTAAAACTATTTTACTGATGTAGAAATGCTCAAAAAAGATTATTTTTATGATAGGTAAGTAAGCAAGTAAACCTATAAAGCAAGTAAACCAAGTAAACGTTGATCAAGAGCTGATGATACTTGTTTTTGTTATTCAGGTTCAGCGTTCACTTAGCACACCTTTTCTTTGACTCTTTTTTAGGTTCTTTGACTGAGGGCATAGGACAAAATAGAGCAAAGCAATAGAATCCATAGTATAAAACTGAAAACTGATACATTGAACTGATAGTGAGGGTAAAGTACAGGTTTCCACACGTTGGGACAAGGTCAAGTGTAAACCTAGAAAACAAGCCTGCCTTTGGAAACAAATTGTTTCCGAAACAGTTTTTCAGTAAGGCTAGATCAAGACAAAAGCTAGACCTGTCCTTGCTAGACCTGTCCTTGCTGGACCTGGCCTTGCTGGACCTGGCCTTGCTGGACCTGGCCTTGCTGGACCTGTCCTTGCTGGACCTGGCCTTGCTGGACCTGGCCTTGCTGGACCTGGCCTTGCTGGACCTGGCCTTGCTGGACCTGGCCTTGCTGGACCTGTCCTTGCTGGACCTGGTTTTGCTGGACCTAGCCTTGCTGAACCTGGCCTTGCTGAACCTGGCCTTGCTTGACTTACAGGCTTCAGAGTTCGGAAGACCCCTGATTGATAAGTCGTCTAGATAGCTTTAAAAAACAGAACCCTTTTTATGGTATTTTGATTCAGTCACCCAATAGCAAGACTATTATTCACTTTCAGCGTTCATCTACACTTAGCACACTTTTTTTGACTCTTTTTTTGGGTTCTTTGACTGAGGGCATAGGACAAAATAGAGCAAAGCAATAGAATCCATAGTATAAAACTGAAAACTGATACATTGAACTGATAGTGAGGGTAAAGTACAGAATTTAAACCATACCCTCTATCGATCAGCGTCTCCTTGAACAAAACGGGGAAACTTCTTTAAAAAAGCGAGTTGAAAATCTCTTATGTGCACGACAGTTTATCATATAATGTAAATGAAAAGTGTTTGACTAAAAGGGTGTCTTAAAGGGGGTCTACAGGGTGTCTTAAAAGTTCTGAAACTTTTTCTGTAAGCAGTAATTTACAGAAAAACACGTGAATTTTGGAAAACTAACGCTAGATTCGAAAAATTCAGCTATTTTTTGCCCCAATATGCGCATTTTCATCAAAAGATGGCCAGGTCCAGCAAGGTCAGGTCCAGCAAGGTCAGGTCCAGCCAGGTCTACGTCTAGCTTTTCTAGTTTCAACTCTCAACAACTTTTTGACCAGGATTTTTCACATTCCAGTCTAATCGCTGACTTAAATGACTTAAAGTTGACTTAAATGTTTGTAGAATGAAATTTTTCCAAAAACTACTGTTACCATTTGATAGATCCAAGTTTTTTCTTGAAAACAAACCAAAAACGAACTTTATACCTTAAAAACGAAAGATTTTCAAGCGATTCTACGAAGGGTACTCAAATCTTAAAAGCAAGAAAAAAGCGCTATGACGCTAAACAAAAACAAACCAGATAAACAAAGGAAAAGCGCTAAACATTCTCATCAAAAAGTTTAGAGTTGTTTACAGTTGTAACTTTTGTGCAAAAAAACGTATAGTAGGGGTAAAAATACCTAAATTTTCATAATCCGGCGTTAGTTTTTCAAAGATAACGTGTTTTCCGAGTCAAACTGTCTTTACAAAAATTATAAGAACTTTTGGGACACTTTGTATGCATTAACTCTAATGCCATTATAAGGTTTTCCAGTATAAGGTCATCACGATGCCAGTATAAGGTTTTAATTTCATGGTAAAAGTCTCATGGTGGTGATCATGGCGGCTCATGGGTAAGGTCAAGTGTAATCTAGAAGTCAAGCCTGTCCTTGGAAACAAATTGTTTCCGAGACAGTTTTTTCAGTAAGGCTAGATCAAGACAAAAGCTAGACGTGGACCTGGCTGGATCTGGCCTTGCTGGATCTGGCCTTGCTGGACCTGGCCTTGCTGGACCTGTCCTTGCTGGATCTGGCCTTGCTGGACCTGGCCTTGCTGGACCTGTCCTTGCTGGATCTGGCCTTGCTGGACCTGTCCTTGCTGGATCTGGTCTTGCTGGATCTGGTCTTGCTGGATCTGGCCTTGCTGGATCTGGTCTGGCTTGACCTGGCCTTGCTGGACCTAGCCTTGCTGGACCTGGCCTTGCTGGACCTGGTCTGGCTTGACCTGGCCTTGCTGGATCTGGTCTGGCTTGACCTGGCCTTGCTGGATCTGGCCTTGCTGGATCTGGCCTTGCTGGATCTGGCCTTGCTGGACCTGTCCTTGCTGGATCTGGCCTTGCTGGACCTGTCCTTGCTGGATCTGGTCTGCTGGATCTGGTCTTGCTGGATCTGGCCTTGCTGGATCTGGTCTGGCTTGACCTGGCCTTGCTGGACCTAGCCTTGCTGGACCTGGCCTTGCTGGACCTGGCCTTGCTGGACCTGTCCTTGCTGGATCTGGCCTTGCTGGACCTGGCCTTGCTGGACCTGTCCTTGCTGGATCTGGCCTTGCTGGACCTGTCCTTGCTGGATCTGGTCTTGCTGGATCTGGTCTTGCTGGATCTGGCCTTGCTGGATCTGGTCTGGCTTGACCTGGCCTTGCTGGACCTAGCCTTGCTGGACCTGGCCTTGCTGGACCTGGTCTGGCTTGACCTGGCCTTGCTGGATCTGGTCTGGCTTGACCTGGCCTTGCTGGATCTGGCCTTGCTGGATCTGGCCTTGCTGGATCTGGCCTTGCTGGACCTAGCCTTGCTGGACCTAGCCTTGCTGGACCTGGCCTTGCTGGATCTGACCTTGCTGGATCTGGCCTTGCTGGACCTAGCCTTGCTGGACCTGGCCTTGCTGGACCTGTCCTTGCTGGATCTGGCCTTGCTGGACCTGTCCTTGCTGGATCTGGTCTTGCTGGATCTGGTCTTGCTGGATCTGGCCTTGCTGGATCTGGTCTGGCTTGACCTGGCCTTGCTGGACCTAGCCTTGCTGGACCTGGCCTTGCTGGACCTGGTCTGGCTTGACCTGGCCTTGCTGGATCTGGTCTGGCTTGACCTGGCCTTGCTGGATCTGGCCTTGCTGGATCTGGCCTTGCTGGATCTGGCCTTGCTGGACCTAGCCTTGCTGGACCTAGCCTTGCTGGACCTGGCCTTGCTGGATCTGACCTTGCTGGATCTGGCCTTGCTGGACCTAGCCTTGCTGGACCTGGCCTTGCTGGATCTGACCTTGCTGGATCTGGCCTTGCTGGACCTAGCCTTGCTGGACCCGGCCTTGCTGGACCCGGCCTTGCTGGATCTGGTCTTGCTGGACCTGGTCTTGCTGGACCTGGCCTTGCTGGACCTAGCCTTGCTGGATCTGGCCTTGCTGGATCTGGCCTTGCTGGATCTGGCCTTGCTGGACCTGTCCTTGCTGGGCCTGGTCTGGCTTGACCTGGCCTTGCTGGACCCGGCCTTGCTGGATCTGGCCTTGCTTGACTTACAGGCTTTAGAGTTCGGAAGATCTCTGCTTGATAAATCGTCTAGATAGCTCTAAGAACCGGAACCCTTTTTATGGATTTAGTCACCCAATAGCAAGACTGTTTGATCCTTGATACAGTTTTCAGAATCGATTATCACAAAATGCATTACTGATTTATTTCACTTTGCCCACTAAACCGCTAACATGTTTACCTACAGAAAGCGCCGGACGATGTGTCGAATTTCGATCCAGAGTTCACCCACGAGGTGCCCCGTTTGACGCCAATCGATCGCTTGTTCTTGATGAATTTGGATCAAACCGAATTTGAAGGGTTTTCTTTTGTAAACCCGGAATATGTGCACGATGTATAGAGTGGAATGAAAATGGATTCTTTGTCAAGAAATTGTGGAAATTTTGAGGCAAGCTTGAGCCAATCTTGAGCCAATAAACTGGCTTTAGAGCTATAAACTATGAGCTTTTGATGTTGAAAAGTCTGATAATCCCAAACAATTTGAACCCATTTTCCTTCTACGTTTATTTATTTCCGATATTTCTAGTCGAAATCTCTCTAACCCAGACTTTTCATGCATTTTTCGACTTTTCTTTTGGAGCTTCTTTTTTATCAATAAAAGATTTATAAAGATTTATTGAAATTTGCAAAAAAAAAAAGCTACAGAAACAATGAGCAATGAGATTTACAAAATGACAAAGAAAAAAAAATGAATTTATTAAGCCGATTCGTAAACTTGATTCTCGTAGATGTTCATAGGGGATTTTTGAAGAAAACCGACGGCTCGCTCAATCACTAAAAATATTACATAAAAAACACAATGTCTTGATAATAGTAAAGAATATTTTTTTCGTTGAAAAGTAGCCAATGCACTGAGCCACACACAAATAAATGAAAGTTCCTTTAAATTGAAGCCCTTAATTTAAAGATCTTTATTTTCTAGTTTCTGATTCCTTTTAAACAAAAAAAAAATTGGTTAACTCTAAAGCGTGTTTGCGCGAAATCCGCATTTTTTCCCATTTTTTCCCATAACTTTCACTGTGCCAGTTTTAAGCAAAAAATCGTTTTTCCCCGTATTGGACCGTATTGGAACCGTATTGGAACCATATTAGAACCGTATTGGATTAAAATCGAAACCATATTAGAACCGTATTGGATCAAAATAGGAACCGTATTGGAACCGTATTGGAACCGTATTGGAACCGTATTGGAACCGTATTGGAACCGTATTGGATCAAAATTGGAACCGTATTGGAACCGTATTGGATCAAAATTGGAACCGTATTGGAACCGTATTGGAACCGTATTGGAACCGTATTGGAACCGTATTGGAACCGTATTGGATCAAAATTGGAACCGTATTGGAACCGTATTGGAACCGTATTGGATCAAAATTGGAACCGTATTGGAACCGTATTGGAACCGTATTGGAACCGTATTGGAACCGTATTGGAACCGTATTGGATCAAAATTGGAACCGTATTGGAACCGTATTGGATCAAAATTGGAACCGTATTGGAACCGTATTGGAACCGTATTGGAACCGTATTGGAACCGTATTGGAACCGTATTGGATCAAAATTGGAACCGTATTGGAACCGTATTGGAACCGTATTGGATCAAAATTGGAACCGTATTGGAACCGTATTGGAACCGTATTGGAACCGTATTGGAACCGTATTGGAACCGTATTGGATCAAAATTGGAACCGTATTGGAACCGTATTGGATCAAAATTGGAACCGTATTGGAACCGTATTGGAACCGTATTGGAACCGTATTGGAACCGTATTGGAACCGTATTGGAACCGTATTGGATCAAAATTGGAACCGTATTGGAACCGTATTGGATCAAAATTGGAACCGTATTGGAACCGTATTGGAACCGTATTGGAACCGTATTGGAACCGTATTGGAACCGTATTGGATCAAAATTGGAACCGTATTGGAACCGTATTGGAACCGTATTGGAACCGTATTGGATCAAAATTGGAACCGTATTGGAACCGTATTGGATCAAAATTGGAACCGTATTGGAACCGTATTGGAACCGTATTGGAACCGTATTGGAACCGTATTGGAACCGTATTGGATCAAAATTGGAACCGTATTGGAACCGTATTGGAACCGTATTGGATCAAAATTGGAACCGTATTGGAACCGTATTGGAACCGTATTGGAACCGTATTGGAACCGTATTGGAACCGTATTGGATCAAAATTGGAACCGTATTGGAACCGTATTGGAACCGTATTGGAACCGTATTGGATCAAAATTGGAACCGTATTGGAACCGTATTGGATCAAAATTGGAACCGTATTGGAACCGTATTGGAACCGTATTGGAACCGTATTGGAACCGTATTGGAACCGTATTGGATCAAAATTGGAACCGTATTGGAACCGTATTGGAACCGTATTGGAACCGTATTGGAACCGTATTGGAACCGTATTGGATCAAAATTGGAACCGTATTGGAACCGTATTGGATCAAAATTGGAACCGTATTGGAACCGTATTGGAACCGTATTGGAACCGTATTGGAACCGTATTGGAACCGTATTGGAACCGTATTGGATCAAAATTGGAACCGTATTGGAACCGTATTGGATCAAAATTGGAACCGTATTGGAACCGTATTGGAACCGTATTGGAACCGTATTGGAACCGTATTGGAACCGTATTGGATCAAAATTGGAACCGTATTGGAACCGTATTGGAACCGTATTGGAACCGTATTGGATCAAAATTGGAACCGTATTGGAACCGTATTGGATCAAAATTGGAACCGTATTGGAACCGTATTGGAACCGTATTGGAACCGTATTGGAACCGTATTGGAACCGTATTGGATCAAAATTGGAACCGTATTGGAACCGTATTGGAACCGTATTGGATCAAAATTGGAACCGTATTGGAACCGTATTGGAACCGTATTGGAACCGTATTGGAACCGTATTGGAACCGTATTGGATCAAAATTGGAACCGTATTGGAACCGTATTGGAACCGTATTGGAACCGTATTGGATCAAAATTGGAACCGTATTGGAACCGTATTGGATCAAAATTGGAACCGTATTGGAACCGTATTGGAACCGTATTGGAACCGTATTGGAACCGTATTGGAACCGTATTGGATCAAAATTGGAACCGTATTGGAACCGTATTGGATCAAAATTGGAACCGTATTGGAACCGTATTGGAACCGTATTGGAACCGTATTGGAACCGTATTGGAACCGTATTGGAACCGTATTGGATCAAAATTGGAACCGTATTGGAACCGTATTGGATCAAAATTGGAACCGTATTGGAACCGTATTGGAACCGTATTGGAACCGTATTGGAACCGTATTGGAACCGTATTGGATCAAAATTGGAACCGTATTGGAACCGTATTGGAACCGTATTGGAACCGTATTGGATCAAAATTGGAACCGTATTGGAACCGTATTGGATCAAAATTGGAACCGTATTGGAACCGTATTGGAACCGTATTGGAACCGTATTGGAACCGTATTGGAACCGTATTGGATCAAAATTGGAACCGTATTGGAACCGTATTGGAACCGTATTGGATCAAAATTGGAACCGTATTGGAACCGTATTGGAACCGTATTGGAACCGTATTGGAACCGTATTGGAACCGTATTGGATCAAAATTGGAACCGTATTGGAACCGTATTGGAACCGTATTGGAACCGTATTGGATCAAAATTGGAACCGTATTGGAACCGTATTGGATCAAAATTGGAACCGTATTGGAACCGTATTGGAACCGTATTGGAACCGTATTGGAACCGTATTGGAACCGTATTGGATCAAAATTGGAACCGTATTGGAACCGTATTGGAACCGTATTGGATCAAAATTGGAACCGTATTGGAACCGTATTGGAACCGTATTGGAACCGTATTGGAACCGTATTGGATCAAAATTGGAACCGTATTGGAACCGTATTGGATCAAAATTGGAACCGTATTGGAACCGTATTGGAACCGTATTGGAACCGTATTGGATCAAAATTGGAACCGTATTGGAACCGTATTGGAACCGTATTGGAACCGTATTGGAACCGTATTGGAACCGTATTGGATCAAAATTGGAACCGTATTGGAACCGTATTGGATCAAAATTGGAACCGTATTGGAACCGTATTGGAACCGTATTGGATCAAAATTGGAACCGTATTGGAACCGTATTGGAACCGTATTGGATCAAAATTGGAACCGTATTGGAACCGTATTGGATCAAAATTGGAACCGTATTGGAACCGTATTGGAACCGTATTGGAACCGTATTGGATCAAAATTGGAACCGTATTGGAACCGTATTGGAACCGTATTGGAACCGTATTGGAACCGTATTGGAACCGTATTGGATCAAAATTGGAACCGTATTGGAACCGTATTGGATCAAAATTGGAACCGTATTGGAACCGTATTGGAACCGTATTGGATCAAAATTGGAACCGTATTGGAACCGTATTGGAACCGTATTGGATCAAAATTGGAACCGTATTGGAACCGTATTGGAACCGTATTGGAACCGTATTGGAACCGTATTGGAACCGTATTGGATCAAAATTGGAACCGTATTGGAACCGTATTGGATCAAAATTGGAACCGTATTGGAACCGTATTGGAACCGTATTGGAACCGTATTGGAACCGTATTGGAACCGTATTGGATCAAAATTGGAACCGTATTGGAACCGTATTGGAACCGTATTGGATCAAAATAGGAACCGTATTGGAACCGTATTGGATCAAAATTGGAACCGTATTGGAACCGTATTGGAACCGTATTGGATCAAAATAGGAACCGTATTAGAACCGTATTGGATCAAAACAAGAAAAGAGTATTGAAACCGTTTTTTCGCATTTTTTCCCATAACTTTCACTGTGCCAGTTTTAAGCAAAAAATCCTTTTTCTCCAAAAAACTAATGAAAGTTTGTTACGTTTATTGCAAGTTTAAATGCTAAGCTAAATGCTAAGCTAAATGTTAAGCTTATTTTTCTGTTTATCTGAAATCTGAAACTTACCTTGACGCTCCTCTGGAGTCAAATAACGGAGCTTGCTGATGTGATAACGATAGATGCGGTTGCGACGACGAAGCTGAAAGTTTAGCAGTTGAAATTTGAAAAAGATTTAGATTGGGTGTGTTTGGGGCTATGGTTTCCCCAAATAAGCTGATTTTTTTACACCCAAGGGTTTTTAACTATGCTGAATCGATTGGTGATGGTTTTCCAACAAACAATCAAAGTTTTAACAACATTTATAACCAATAGCAACAAAAATCATAACAACAAAATGTAAACAAGTGACCGAAGAGGACAGGAGACAACGAGAAACTCGTTT